GTCTCAAGATACTTAAAAATTAATTTAGAGACATTTTGCATTCCACGTAACACGGCAAATGGACACTTGCTGTCTCAAAGGGTAAGTTATGGTTTGCACTTTTAAGTTTCGGGTTTAATACTCTCACTAATATTTCTAAGTTCTAACATATTAACCTTTAACTATTATCCTTATAAAAAAAAATTAGAGACATTTTAATTATATATATAGCAAAAATTTATTTACATATAAATTTTATATATTATGTTTATATAAAATTTTAATTATTCATATTTTTATTTTTAATAATTGTGATTTATTTATATTTATTAAAAATAATTATTATTTTCATTTAAAAAATCATGATAAATCTTAACTATTAAAACTAAAAATGTGTTATATAAAATTTGTGTATAAATAAATTTTCTCTTATATATATCTATATTAGAAAAGTAAATATTAACCCATATCGTAAAAAATTAAAAAAAAAAGAGGCTAAAATTATGTTATTTTAATATAGTAAAAATGATATAATTTAATTTTTTAAATAAAAATCTGATCATTTTAATCTTTTCTTATAGTATTTTATCAAAATAATAAAATTTTGTAATATTTTTTCACATAATTTTTTTATAATGAAGGCTAATATCCACTAATATATATACACAGTTTCTTATCTTCCGGTTCATGATGGTGCGTTATTAATTTGCTAAATATTAACTTTTCAAAACTTAATATTTTGGAATTATTAATTTGTTATTCTATATATATATATATATATATTTCATAATGATTAGTTATGTTTGAGCTATTCTTTAATAGAGTATCTTTGTTCTTTCATCAACTTATTAATGGTTTAAGAATTAAACTCTATAAACAAAACAAAAGAGAAATAATGAAAGAGTTAAGATTAATAAAGCAAACAAAGACCAATGGAATATGAAGGGGGCATGAAGGGTGTGTATATATATATATATAAAAATAGCTAATGCAAAATAGGAGGACTCAATTCTTGATAAATAAGATATTAAGTCCTTTCCAAGATTAAATTATAGCAGTTGATAAGAAAATATTTTTGATATAATTACACTTTCTAATTGTCTATTAAGGTTGAATTTTAGTATTTAATAAGAACTATTTTAAGGTTTTTTTTTCCTTTTTTTGAAACTAGGGAGTAATTATTTTGCTAAATATCAACTTTTCAAAACTTAGTACTATAAATTATTAATTTGTTATTTTATATTTTTTAATTATAATTAATGAGATGAATAAATAGGGAGAAAGAGGGGATCGATTTCGTGGTATACCTGTACTCATATTCTATAATTATAGATTGAATTAATTTCATATTTTGTATTAATTTCATAATGTATGGGTCCTATATCCTTATATTAGATTTAAGATCCATTTGGTATAGTGGTTTGAAATTTACGGTTAGTAATTTTGTACAAACCACTAAAAATAATTGTTAAATAAACTTATTTATTTCAAAATTGTTACAAACTAGATGTTTGATAAAACTTTTTATTTAACGATTTAAAATTAGTGAATAGTAGTTAAACTCTAAACCGCTAATAGATTGGAATTTACCATTTAAGCTTTGTGAAACACCTCAAGACAAGAGTGAGATAAATACTCACTTGTAACTTCTAAGTGCTCATACGCTAAAAAATGACCATGTGCTCACACATTAAGAGTTTATTTGGTAAATTGGTTAAAATTAAGTAGATAACAAACAGTGAATAGAAAATAACAAATAGCGAATATTAATAGCAAGTAGTGAATAATGGTTAGTGGATAACAAGTAACAATTGGTGAATAGCGGGTAGTGGATCATATATAGCGAATTTAATTAATATGATTGTTTAGTTATACAATAGTTAGTAGTTGTTATTCAAAATTAAATAATTAATAAAGACATATTTAAAAACAATTAAGTATTTTTTCTTTTTATATTTTTTTATTATTAAAATTATTTTATAAAAATAATAAAAAATAAACAAAAAAAATTATAATAATATAATCATAGACTAGTTTTTATTTTTAGAAAAAAAATTACATTAGTTTTAAATAAAGTGCAAAAAATTTTAATCTTTGTCTAATTAGCAAATTTTATTTATTAAGTTCATATTTTTTTTATAATAAATTAATTTAAAAGTAAAAATATAATAATCACTTCATATTATTAATTACAAAAAATAAATTTAAAACTAATTAAATAAGTATTAATTAAAAATCATGGCAAAAATTTAAAAACTAAAATGAATAAATTTATCAATAAGATTAAAAAATTCTAATCCACTAACGCATTAGTACAAAAGGCTATCTTAGTTAGTTTTTTCAATTCACTAGTGGTTTAGACCATAATCACTATTCACTAATACCAAATCACTAAATAAAAAGTTTTATGAAATACCTAATTTGTAACAGTTTTAAAATAAATAAATTTACCAAACATTTAATTTGTAACAATTTCAAAATAAACAAGTTTATCAAATATCTATTCTTAGCAATTTATACAAAACCAATAACTGTCATCCCAAAATCACCATACCAAATAGGCCCTAAATCGAAAGACAATGTTATAGTTAAGATAGCTAGTAAGAGTGTAAGGTTATAATCATAATATATTATTAAATTAATATGATATGTTATTAAATGAGTAAATTTATATAATATTATAAATAAATTCCTAAATGAAAAAATTCAATTATATAATAATTCATTATATCATGTTGTTAATTTCCAATATCAAGTACCCATTGTAACTATATCATTTTTTATTAAAAAATCCTAAGACATGTAATTATAGTCAATCATACTTCCCTGATTTCCAGCAACTCAGCGACAAGTGTAAACAGTATATTTTGACTCACAGGATGTGTTTGGTGCCGTTGGAGAAGTTGCCGATCGAAATGCACTCGAGTTTCGAATCACTGAAGGAGGTAGACTTGGAATGGGATCGGGAGTTCGATGAGCAGCCATTCGGAGCTGACTACGGTCGCCTTGAAAATGGCCTCGTTTACTACATTCGCCAGAATCCTAAGCCTAAAATGAGAGCCGCTCTCGCCCTCGCCGTCCAAGCTGGGTTTGTATTTCTTCTCTCTTATTGAATACTTCGATTCCGTTTTTCTAAATGTAAAGTACAGGCGTACTCTGGCTTCAGCTTCTAATATACATATATTACACGATAATGCTAACTTTAAAGGATGGTGGAGATACTAGAACTCGTATTTTTTCGGGCTGCATTTTCAGATTTGAGAAATGTGACTTTCCAATGCAGGTCAGTTTTGGAGGAGGAAGACGAGCGAGGAGTTGCACACATTTTAGAGCATCTGGCTTTCAGTGCAACTAAGAAATATGAAAATCATGGGATTGTTAAGTTCCTGGAAAGCATTGGAGCTGAATTTGGTCCTTGTCACAATGCTTATACATCTGCGGATGAGACTGTTTTTGAATTGCTGATTCCTATAGACAGGCCTGAACTGTTATCTGAGGCCATATCCATTTTGGCAGAGTTCAGCACAGAGGTATCAGGTTTTCTAGATCTCTGTCAGATAATCCTTCATTTTGCTCGTCTTGTAGATTTGCTTATTCATGTTGTGCAATGTGCAGATTCGAATCGCAGATGAAGATTTGGAGAAAGAACGAGGAGCTGTCATGGAAGAGTATAGAAGTGGTCGAAATGCTGCTAAAAGGACTCAGGAAGCACATTGGAGATTGTTGATGGAAGGCTCAAAGGTACTGCAATTGCCTTCTAATTTCTTGTTGAACGTTTAAATTCAAGACGAACCTAATTTTATATCAAGATTAAGAAAACTTCACCCAGGTCATACACAATCAAATTTTGTTGGTTGCAGTATGCTGAACGCTTACCTATTGGTTTGGAAAAAGTAATACGAGGCGTTAACACTAAAACAGTGAAGCATTTTTATCATAAGTGGTATCATCTAAGCAAGATGGCAGTGATAGCTATTGGTGATTTCCCTGATACAAAGGTTTGTATTTGTTTTTATATATGTTCTCTCCTGTAGACTTTCCCTGATTATTTGCCATGGATTCTTAACAATCTCTGTGTTTTCTTTCTCTAGAGTGTTGTTGAGTTGATAAAGACTCATTTTGGGCAGAAAACTTCAGCATCTAACCCTACAGCAGTGCCAAATCTTCCTGTTCCTTCCCATGAGCAGCCACACTACTCGTGTTTTGTGGATTCTGAAGCCACCAAGGTAAATACAGCATGTGTTTAGGATTGCTGTAAGGTTGTGTAATTGTAGTTGTGACTGTAACTATAGTTATGCTGATCTGCATTGTAATTATGGTTAAAAGTTATTTTTATATTTAGTTATTTATTTTTTAAAAATATTATGAATAAAATAGGATAAATTTTATTAATTATTAATTTAAATTTAAAAATGATATATGATATATAATTATTAAAATGAATAACATTTATTACTTCTTACTAATTCATGTTTTTTAAGTTTCTTATAATGAGTATTTTTTTGAATTTTGCGGAAGAATAACTTATGAGAATAACTTATATGAGGGAATGAGTTTTAATTTTTTTTATGAAACCTTCACATAAACAAGATGTTACATTTAAATAAAATATTATAAATTATGATATAATTAAATTAAATAAAGTTGGGTTTTAAGAAGCAATTTTGTAGTTATATTAAATATTAGGTGTTATTCGAGAAAATTACTACCAAAAAGCTTCAAAATTAAGCTTTTGGCTTTACATATACAATTGTTGTAGATTTATTGTGACTTTTTATAACTTTTAAAAAATAGAGTTTGAAAAAAATTACCAAACATACATATTTAAAAGTATTGTACGGCTACAAAATAAAACTTTCAATTGCAATCCCAAACGCACCCATAGTTTGCATGTATTTTCTATCCATTAACCAAACATAACAATATTAACTAATTTTGCCTGGTCTGCTTGTAAAAAGTCTGAAGTGGTGGTCAGCTATAAGATGCCAGTTAAGAAAATGAAGACTGTGAAAGACTACAGGGATGCACTGGTGGAATCCATGTTCCTAAATGCTTTAAACCAGAGGTTCATGAAAATTTCTCATAGAAAGAATCCACCCTATTTCTCATGCTCGGTATATGCTGAAGGTCTTGTTCGCCCAGTTAGAGCTTGTATAATCAACTCATTTTGTAAAGAGAATGGAACATTAAAGGCCCTAGAATCAATGCTTACTGAGGTTGCAAGGGTACAGCTTCATGGGTTCTCAGAACATGAAATATCTGTTGTTCGAGCTCTAATGGTGTCAAGGATCAAATCTGTCTACTTGGAGCGTGATAGAAGGGAATCAACCAGCCTGAGACATGACTATGTACAGGTAACTACAATTCTATCCAGTAATCTAGTATCCACTTATTGTACCTCAAAAACTAACTTTATCTTCATTATTCCATTTTGCAGCATTTTATCCGCAATGAACCTGTTATTGGGATTGAGTACGAGGCTCAACTCCAGAAAACTATCCTGTCTCGTCAGTAAATTAATTATCTGAGTTTTTTCGTTCATTATTTCTAGGTAACTTTAACAAAATAAATCTAATGTTGCATCTTGTTCCATTTATTATTTTATCTACACAGATATATTAGCATCAGAGGTATCCAAGTATGCAGAGAAATTACAAACCTCATGCAGCTGCGTCATAAAGACAGTTGAACCTCGAGCTTCTGCAACAATTGCTGACCTGAAAGAGGCTATTTTGAAGATAAGTCAATTTGAGAAGGAACAGAGCATCGCTCCTTGGGATGAAGAACAAATTCCAGAAGAAATCATAGATATAAAGCCAAATTCAGGGTAAAATATGGTCCTTTTTTTATTAGATTAATGATTTTATTTTATTACAGTAACTCTTAACACGGTCTGATTATTTATACTAGGAACATTGTAGAGCAGCATGAATACGCAAATATTGGAGCTACTGAACTAATTCTATCAAATGGCATGAAAGTTTGCTACAAGTCTACGGACTTTTTGAACAATCAGGTACAGATTCTCAAACCGTACAAGTATTCAAGGTTGAATTTAGAAATTCTATCATTCAGATAACACCCAAAAAGATTCTAGTCTCCAAGCTGCATAACAGTTCAAAAATATTGTTTGCTTGGAGTTTTATGCCACAATAATCTTTACTGAACCAAAGTTCAGGCAAATTTATATAATTCTCATACACCCTTTGTTTTGACAGATTCTTTTTTCTGGGTTCTCATATGGGGGTTTATCTGAACTCTCAGAAAGTGAGTATCTTTCATCTATGATGGGAGCACCATTTGCTAGAGAACTAGGTGCATTTGGTCACAAACCACCAGTATTAGCAGATATGCTTGCTGGTAAAAGAGTTACAGTCACCACAGAGGTTGGGGCATACATGAGAACCTTCCATGGTGATTGTTCACCCTCTGATTTGGAGATTGCCTTGCAGGTTTGCTTCATCACATTTTCCAGTAACACACTACCACCTCATTTCTAAGCGCTCTTCAAAATGTTAAACCATCCCTATGGTTAAGATCTCCATTTCAAAATTGTTGTTAATGTTATATGAAGTAAAACAGTTAGTCAATGAGTTAATGTTCACAAAGTACACAATAAAATTTCATTTAAAGTAAAAAGATAGCGAGGGAGACAATGTGTCAAGCTGTATGGTTATATGCAGACATTTTACCTATAATTTTTTCATGAAACACTAATTCAATATCTAACTCTTTCCTTGGTCAAAAACGAATCTTTGTCCCACTAAAGTTTCTGATTCTATTTGTCATGGCAGCTTGTCTATCAACTATTTATGGAAAATGTAACACCAGGAGAAGAAGTTGATTTAGTGTTGCAAAAGACAGAAGAAGATATTCGTGCTCAAGAGAGGGATCCTTACACTGCATTGAGAAACCGGTTGACTGAGCTTTTGTATGGAAACTCTTATCATTTTAGGGTAAGAATGATGTCATATTCTAAATCTTACTGAGTTCTTAGGTAAAACCATAGAAAAGTATTTCCTAACTTTATCTAATTTCCACTTTTGCAGCCTCTTAAAATAAGTGACCTCAGTAATGTTAATCCATTGAAAGCCTGTGAATATTTCAACAGCTGTTTCAAGGATCCATCAACTTTTACTGTTGTGATTGTTGGGAATATTGATCTACCAACTGCAATTCCTTTGATACTCCAGTATTTGGTAAGCTGGGTTTCTTATCAAGCTACCAAGTTCAATGTCTGGACACATTTCTTTTTATAATGTTTACTGGTCTCTGATTCTCTATGTAGGGTGGAATACCAAAGTCGCCAAAACCTATTCTCCACCGGAAGGGAGATTACATCAAAGGACTACCATTTAACTTCCCCACAAGTGTAGTAAGGTAAGTTATTTTGTGTCAGGCATTGGCACTCATCCAATGTCAAGATGTTGGAGGAAGAGTTTTTTAGTCTATCCACTTCAGTTCAAAAACCCAATATGCATATTTTGTGAATGGTGTGCAAGTGCACTTGTGTGTATATATAGTAAAAACACACATAAACATGGGGCACACACACATGCATGTCCAAATGTGCATTAACACAAACCCTGACCATAATCACACATTTTTCTCTCAAAATGCACTCATAAGCATTCAACACGCTTGTAGAGAAGAGGTACACAGGCCGATGGTGGAAGAACAATGTTGGGTCACACTATCCTTTCCTGTGGAGCTGATGAAAGGGGCAATGGTATGTGATTCTCTTTAAAGTTGAAGGAAAGGGAAACATGACGAGTTTGTAATACTGATCATCTTTCTGTTGGAAAAATCATATGACAGGTAGAAGAGATTTGGCATCTTCACTTCCTGACTGTACTTTTTGAAACAAAAATATTACAGGTTCTGCGTTTCAAGCATGGACAGGTATGCATGGACTATTTAAGCTTCAGCATATTCTTATTCTCTGTACTAAATTTCCAATGATTCCCCTCTATGCCCCAGATCTACTCTGCAAGTGTTTCAGCAAACCTTGATGGTAACATGCCTTGTAGAATTGATGACATACATGGCTATATTAGAATAGCCTTTTCTTGTGACCCGAAAATCTCCTCTAAGCTGGTTGGTATTTTTAGTTGCACGGTAGTAGCATTTATTTTCTGGGGCCGAATCATCAACTGGCCAATCAACTTACATTTTGGTACTGCAATACTTCCTAACAGGTCAATATTGTTTTGGATGAAATATTGCTTCTCCAAAAAGAAGGGCCTTCAACTCAGGATGTTTCAACCATTCTAGAAATTGAACAGAGGTCCTATGAAAACGGACTACAGGTTAGATTTCTTTATATAGCCTATTTGTTGCCAAGTATGAGGATCGAGTCTCATACCTACAATTTAAACTTGAAACCAAAATAAATTATCCTTGTCTAATTTGTCCATACCCCATGATTTTGAACAAAGATTAAGGTTCATGGATATAAGAAATGAAAATAGTTCATGCACAGCTGAATCTGGGTGTAATTTTCTCTTGCTCCTTTTCAGGATAATAACAAGTGGTTGGGTAAGATTTTAAGCAGCTACCAATCTAGGATCTATTCTGGTGATATTGGCACTTCCTTTAAGGTTAGTGGCTCTGAATGTATTATTTTCTATTAGTAGACAGTTCTTTTTTTTTTTTTTTTCCCTCTTTAACAAAATTTTGACAAAAGAAACTCAAGCATCTGCCTTTTAGGAGTAGTTTTATTAGGAGATTAAAGAGCACTTAGTTACTTTCATGATCCTTGAAGTTAAAAACTTTTAATTTTTTCTCTTGTGCAGGTTAATTTAGAAGGACGCTCCAGAATTAGAGAATCACTTACACAATTAACAACACAGTCAGCAATGCAGAGGATAGTGCCCTACCCTTGCAAAAATCAGCACACTGTTGTTGTTCTAATGCCCCAACCATGTCAGTCGAAGTGATTGAGATTAGCTCTGATATGGAACCCTTATGAAAGAGATGCAAAGGTCAGTTATGTAAACTATCTCACTAAATTTGTGTTATCCAGCAAACCTTCCAGATAATAAAATTCTTTGAATCTTCCAAAATACCCATATATCATGCAGTTTTTCTTAAAGGGACAGTTTTGCTTCAGTCCTGTGTCGAGCCTAAACATTTTTGAGATAAGATGATATACCGATATGTACTTTGCATATCATCTAAAACACCCAGACCGATGGTTCCTTGTACAAAGATTGTGTCTTTCATGTTTTAACCCTTTCCATACATTGATTTCCTCCAATCAGATATTTCTCTCATTCAACAGACCTCAATTTTCTTTGCAAATTTTTACTAGTTTCCACCAGGAGTTCTAAACTAAAATGTAAATTAGTTTTTAATTGTACATTAAAACTCACAATTTTTTTTCATTTTTGGCAGATCTTAGCAGGATTTGCTAGTCTGAGAGTCATGGCTCACAGTTTGTGGAGATATTCATGGAGATTGTAGGAAGCTTGTGTACATCACAGCTTCATGTACAAGGAAAGTGTGAAGCTTCCAAAAACATTGCTTCATTGAAAAAAGTTGAGACAAAGAAATTCATGTCATGGTCAACAAACCGGAAGTTCCAAGTGTTTCAAAGTAGGCATGTTATTGGAGAAGCAAAGAATGTAGCCAACATCCTAGCTAAATAGGGGTGCAAAAAGCTTTGGTTTCTTTTGTTTCTTTTGATGAAGGTTCCCTCAATGTGTAATACTGCTTTTATCCATTACAAAGCGGATTGCATTTCATTTCATTCAGAACTTGTAATACTACCTTTTAATTAATGATATTTTCTTGATTATCACCTAACAAAAGTTGGACAGAAAGAAAAATTATACCACATCCTATCCTCAGAAAACGAAAATTCTTATGTCAGGATTAAAAAAAAGATGCTGAAAAATGAAGGAATACTCCGTCTTTCTTATTCCTTCGAAGTTTATGTTTCCCTAATTGACAAGACATTAGCTTTGTTTGTTTCCAGCACACATAATATAGAAAAAATTTAACACGATAATGTGCATAGATGATATAACCAAAACAGTAAAATAAACAATGATGAAGAGAATTAGATTAAAAAAACTTAGTTCTTGGCCTACTTTGATGAGGTGATAAAAGGAACAAACAATCATCTCCAAAAGAACGGGCAATTGAAGAGAGCAATATATGATTTTCCATTAAAGTAAAGATAGAGAAGCTTACTCAATCCTCCATGCGCATAGTGTTTTATGTAAAGGGATGTTTAAAGGGTTTGGGTACTAATAATAAATTATTCACTTTGCTTACCAAAAAAAATCCTCCGAGCGTATACAGGCAAGTGCGTTCATCAAAAGCAACAAGAAGCCAGCCTGGTTTTTGCGCAGATTTTCGTAAAAGGACAATAAAAAATATCATGAATCCAAATCAAGTCGGAATACAATCATGAAAAAGGTCGAAATTGTTTGGGCAGGTTCGCAATCTGCTGTTGAAGTGCTCGGCTGCTTCTACACCTGCAAATCCCGAGGATATTTTCTCGGGAAAAACACTCCGACGCTTAAGTCAACAATACTCGATATTCTAAAAAGAGAGGAGTGTAGAGATTAATTACCTTCTTCTGAGGTAGTTGGGGGATATTTATAAGCCCTAGTGCTAACATGCATATGCACATGTAAACCTCTCATTGGCCCACGTTTTACTGCCCATGTGGGCATGTCTCATCACCTTGGGCCGGTAGATGTGTTATTGGGCCTGCAGCATGTGGCCCGAAGTGGGTGTTGGGCCTAATCCCAACGTTACTCCCTCCTTAGCGTTCGGTTGACGAACTGGATGGAGAGTCTTGTTAGCACGGTGTCTGGCCCTAAAGATGAGGATTGATGTTTTATGGTCATGAACGACCTCACGCACGGCCAATCTGAGCGGCTTGAAGACATCGTGCCTAGCTGGATGTGCAAGTGTATACCGGCTTCCCGCCGAGCAGGCATGAGGAGCTGGTGTTAAAACCAGTTGAGCTCGATGCTAATCAAAGGGCCGAGTAGGTGCGCAAGGGAGACCTTGCATTATGAATTCTCTACAGCAGAGCGAAGGCGAGCGGATAGTGAACGAGCTAAACTAACCAAACCTAGACAGGCCGGGATGAGCGACCTCACTCATCACTTCAATATAGATCTCGGGGATACAAAGCAGATTTGAGGAAGTTGGTTATAATCTAACGTTTGATGTCCGAAACTAAGGTGAATTTCTGATTTGTGCGACTTGATCTCTAAAGATTCTTCAAATTTGGAATCTCGGCAGAGATCTCGGATTAGTAACGAGCTGATTTCTCGAGATTTTCAAATTTTGGATTATGGTAGATCTATGAGGAGACCCCGGATTTGTTACGAGCTGATCCCTAAGATTTTTCAAAATTCGAACTGTGGTGAATCTCTGAGGATATTTGTTCAGGTCTCGGATTTGTTACGAGCTGATCATTGAAGTTTGTTACAATCTGATCCTTCAGATTTTTCAAATTTTCAAATCACAAAAAATCTCCAATTGTGGCGAATCTCTAAGGAGATTTGCTCAGGGCGTTTGGTATTCTTCTGCTTTTGACAGATATCCTTTTGCCTCCCCGCAATAAATGCTGGCTCAGCATTTGAGGGAACGTGACAGTTGCAGACGGCGTATTTTGGGCTCTTAATCATAAATGGCCGCCACGTGGACACGTTTAACTAGGGGGCCATAAACACGCGTACGGTGTTCACGGAGCACTATCTGAAAGATCAAAACAAAAAAAACACTTAGCTATTCTCTGTTCCATTACACAACACACTCGTACGTTTTTCAGAGAAGGTTGTAGAGACACTCTCGGCCATTTTCCCAAACTTTCAACGAAAGCACTTCCAACTTAAACTATTCAGGTAAAAATGGCTTCTTTCCATGATGAATGAGAGTTCCGGCGTAACTAAGGTGAAGACGAAGAGGTTGATGTGATCTCAGCGGAGCCCATTGTAATGATAGTGCCGCCGGAGTTACAAGACTCGCCTAGAACCGCCACGCCAAAGAGTAGCACTAGTGCGAGCGCAGGTGGTGGTTCTAAGGACCACCAGCCTTCAACCTTTAGCAATTCGTGCACGGAAGAGACACCCAGTGAAACAGAGGGTGGTGAAGAGCCTGGTTGCAGTGCGCCGGCGGTGAGTATAGCAGTTGAGGTGGTTCCGTTTGAAGGGTGGGAGAGCAAGGTTCTCAATGGAAGACTGGAAAACCTCCGCAAGGCCCCCAAAACCCTACCGGCGGGCTTTAGGTTCAGGGCGACACTACATCACGAAGTTGCAGACGGTGCGGCCATAGTGAAGGGATACAAGAAGTTGGAGGAGATGGTGAGGCAATATTAAATCCCCCGAACCATCTTGATCTGAGCTGGGACACCAAACGAACGGGCGTGCTCAGTATCATGGACGGGCTGGGTGCTAGTATACGTAGATCATTTTGATGCCGGTCTACGTTTTCCTCTGCTCAGACTGATTTTTGATGTCCTGGTAAAGTACGAGCTAGCCCTTTCGCAACTTGCTCCCAACAGCATAAAGTTCATCATAGGCTTTATGCTGTTGTGCGAAAGGTTGGGGATGCCTGCAAAGGTGGTGGTCTTCAGGTCGCTCTTCCTGTGCCGTCTGTGTCCCTCCACCAGCAGTACGAGATGGTATTACATCTCTAGGAGAAAGAAGATGATGATATTCACCAACATCAGAAATAAGGTGGCGAGGTGGAAGAGACAGTTCATTTTCATCCGTGATACACGAACTAAGAGGATCAATAATGAGCTCGCCGCCCGTCTGTCAGAGTGGCGTACACCTAACACGTACATGAACTACCCACAGTTGACAAGTGGTGATATCGACCTGAAGAACCGACTGCTCGACTATGTGAAGGCGAGGGGTTTGGTGGATCTGGAAGCCTTTGTTACCCTGGATCAGATTGCACTTCTTGGGTTTGTCGACGTGGCAAACCTTCACGGGGAAGGTATATTTCTATAATATAGCCGAATTTCTAGCCGACCTGAATCCTATGCTTTTCTTTGTGCAGGAGAAATGAGTAGCATTCTAGAGAGGCAGCGTCAGAGGCCACAAGGCTGAAGGGGTCGGGGAGCTGGGTTCGGTTCCCAGCGTCAATCCCGCTTTGACGAGCGGCCACCTGCTGCACCTGGGCGTAGCTCACAGCACCGAAGTTCCAGCTCGGCGCAGAGGCCACGTGCCGAGCAGAGAACTGAGCTTGCGCCCTCCAACTCTAGAAGGCGCACAAGGGAGGACTCTGACGCAGAGGATGACGTTCCACTCATCCGGCGAAGGACGAGTACCTGCTCGCAGCCTGCCCCAAGCGCCAGTTCGCGAGGTTCCGAGGTAGCACCAGCCTCGTCGTCTGTGGCGGGGCCAAGAATTGCATACTCGGACGACTTCAGTTACGTAAGGACTGAGTGTCAGACCACCATGCTGCAGGGTATGTAGAACTTTGTGCATCCTGCAGACCGGCTGCGCGCAAAGGGGCATGTTCAGTAGCATGGGGGACATGCTGCTTTAATCAAGCTGATGGATGTAAGTATACTTGCCGAGCTCATTATTGTGTCTTATTATTTTGTCTTAGAAATTGATGATTGTATGTCTATGACAGGCGTTCAGTTACACCGTCGCACTCTTCGAGTGCGAGCAAGGAGCAAGGGCGCAGAACAACGAGCTCCAACATAGCTGCAAACAACTGGCCTTTAAAAAAGCCAGTTTGGCTGACGAGGTTAGTTGTTTGCAGAGCTCGGAGATGGCGAACCGAGTGGCATCAGCCAAAAGTCGAGCTGATGAGCTGGCCCGCAAGGTCAGCGAGCTGAGGGAGGAGCTTGACAGGGCTCGGGCAGAGAAGGAGAGTGGCATTCAAGCTATAAAGGAGGAGGTCGGCCGTGCAGAGGACCGGGCTAAGAAGGCCGAATCTGATCACGAGAAGACTCTGCACGAGCTGAGCGCCCTGAGAGAGAGGGTCTCACAAGCTGACCAGCATGTCACTTGGGCTGAGGCGTCCTTAGAGATGACCAAAAGGCTCCATCAGCGCAACGTCTGCTTTGCTCGCGCACAAGGGGCGGAATGGCTGGTGGGAGCAAAGATGTTCCAAGACGCCGTCGCAGTTGCCTCTGCCAATACTACCACAGACATTTTCAACGAGGTTCGTGGAAAGGTGCTACGAGTCCAGGCTGACTTTCGCATCAGTGAGCTCAACCAAGAAGGGAAGAGCCTCGCCCAGCCAACTGACACCAGGGTGAAGCTGAAATGGGAGCTCAACGAAGAGGGGCTACCCATGTGGCCCCCTTTTGTCGTTGAAGAGGGAGAGGACACGAGGGGTTGCCAAGCTTCGATGCTTGGGTGGCGGACCCCCATGATATGCCTGCTGAGCCGTCCAGCACTCCCCCCTTTGCTCAGCCTCAGCCTGAACCAGCCGCTGCTCCTGCTCTCTCTCCTGCCCTCTCTCCTCCAGATCGGTCATCTCCAGCTCGATCTGCTACTGCACCAAATGACGCATCCATCCCCGTTGACTTGACGGATGACTAGCTTAGGACTTTTTGCTCTTTCTTTGGTATTTCTTTTTGTATTTTGTGTTTATCAATAAACTCAGTTATTGTATACTCCAAATGTAGAAATCATTGGTGAAATACAAAGTTGAATCTTTTGTTTTGAGCTTTCTATATTGAATTTTCCATACATTGTTGTTTACAATTATTGACAATAACTTGAATTAAAATAACTACATCAGAAAGCTAACTGTAAAACTTTCTAAGGTTATGTATGTTCCAAATGAATGATAATGGACGACCTTGTAAATCTGCTAACTGGTAACACCCAGGTTGCTTAATATAAATAACCATATAAGGACCTTCCCAATTAGGAACGAGCTTGCCCATGTGCGAATAAACATTGGTTAATCCAGCTTTGCGTAGAACCAGATCGTCGACCTGAAACTGACGAGCTCAAACTCTTTTATTATAAAATTTTGCAACACGACTCTGATATGCCATGTTCTTGATTTGGGATATTTCCCTAACCTTTGCTACGAGGTCTAGGTTCTCTGTTAATAGTTGCTCATTATTAAGATCGTCATGGTGATCTGATCTATCAGATGGCAATCCGACCTCAATGGGGATGACGGCCTCAGCTCCATACGCCAAGCTGAATGGGGTTTCGCCTATAGCCGAGCTTGGTGTAGTGCGACATGACCAAAGCACTTTATTGAGCTCGTCAACCCAGTTAGAATGCGCAGCTAAAACGCGCGTCTTGAGGCCTCGCAAGATGATTTTATTGGCAGACTCAGCTTGTCCATTTGATTGTGGAGTATACACGGATGTCAAGGCAAGCTCAATGCCATAGTCGTTACAGAACGACCTCAGTGCCGTGGCTCGGAACTGCGGACCATTGTCTGCGATGATCTGCTTAGGAATACTGAACCTGTACACATATGATCAAACTGAGCCAGAAATTATATTTGCGTATAATGCACCAATGACTTAAGTTACCGAAGAATACATGTACAATATTGAATTGAACAAGAATTCTTCTATTTTCTTTTTTGTTGTCGCGGACAATGGTTTAGCTTCTATCCATTTGGTGAAGTAATCCACCGCAACAATAAGGTAAGTGCAACCTCCTTTGCCTTTCACAAAGGGGTCGAGCAAGTTGACTCCCCATTGAGCAAAAGGCCAGGGAGACGAGAGTGATAAGAGCATTTCTCCTGTTTTAAGGAAGATACTTATGCTTAGTTTATAGACAAACGTGAGGATTGAACGAACTTTAGAACGAGCTCAGATACCTGGCATGTGAATATCATTAGCATTGAACTAGCAAGTCGAGCATTTGTTGACATAGTTCTGTGCGTCCTCGACCATAGTTGGCCAGTAATACCCATGCCTCAGGAGTTTCCGAGCTAAAGTTTTGCCACCTATGTGTGTGCCACATACTCCTTCATGAACTTCCCTTACAGCATATTCAACTTCATACGGAGCAAGGTAGCATAATAAGGGCGTTGAGGCTACTCGTTTGTAGAGCTAATTATCTAACAAAGTGAAATGTGCCGCCCTACGTTTAATCAACTTTGCAGCGGACGGATCTTCAGGTAGCTCGCCACTTTGCAGATAATTTATGAGCGGGGTGGTCCAGCTTGGTGAAGAGGGATCTATGCTGAACAGCTGACATTCGACTATGAAATCGGTGTAGCTCGGAGCGTCAAGTACTTCCACAATTGTTGACCTATGAGGGTTGAGGTCCTGCAAGGAGGCCAACTTTGACAGCTCGTCAGCTCGGTGGTTATCTACCCTTGGTATTTTGTCGATTTGGAAAGAGACAAATCCTGACTTCAATCTGTTGACCATAGAAGCATAACGACCAAGTTGGGGATCCCTGATTTCACAGCTGCCATTCACCTAGCCTACAACAAGCTGAGAGTCGCTAAAAACCTGAATGCTCTGTACCTTCAGCTCGGACACTAGCTTCAATCCATAAATGAGGGCTTCATATTCTGCAACATTGTTAGTTGTCTGAAACTTAAACCTCAGTGCATGCTCGGATTTAAAGCCATCTGGGCCCACTAACACAGCCCCAGCACTCGATCCCTCAATGTTAGCAGCTCCATCAACATATAAGACCCAGACTGGGCGCTCAGGTGCCTTTTCTTCAAAAATGGCCGAGATGCACTCAACAAGGAAGTCTGCCATAGCCTGGCCCTTTATGGTTGTTCGCAGTTGAAACTTGAGGTCATACTCACTCAGCTCGACACTCCACCCAATAAGCCGACCCGAGAGTTTAGGCTTCTGCAGTATCTTTCTCAACGGCAGATCGGTGTAAACGACAATTTGATGTGACTGGAGGTAAGCTCTCAATTTCCAAGCCGTGTACACCAAGGCAAAAGCAGCCTTTTCTGCTAGTGGGTAGTTCTGCTCGGCACCTTGTAAAACTTTACTCACATAACAGATAGGCTTTTGATGCTTATTCTCTTCCCTTAGTAAAACCGAACTTATGGCCTCCTCTGTGACCCCCAGATATAGGTATAAACTCTCCCCTCCCATAGGCTTGGAGCAGGGGTGTTGATGCTAGATATTGCTTGAACTCGTCGAACGCCTGCTGACATTCATCTGTCTACTGAAATTTCTTGGGCTCCCTCAGGGCTTTAAAGAATGGGAGGCACCTTTTTGTCGATCTGGCGATGAATCTGTGCAATGCGGCTACACGACCTGTCAAGCGCAGCACATCCTTTATGGTTTTGGGAGGCTCCATCTGCTGAACGGCTTGAACCTTCTCTGGGTTCACTTCAATTCCTTTCTTGGATACTACGTACCCTAGAAATTTTCCTGATTCTATAGCAAACGTGCACTTCAGGGGATTCAACTTCATCTGGGCTCGGTGCAAGTTCTAAAACGTTTCACTCAGGTCAACTATATGGTCCTCAGCTCACACACTGGTGACTATCATGTCATCCATATATACCTCTATGTTCCTGCCGATCTGGAGCTTAAAGATGATTTGCACCAGCTTTTGATACATTGCACCAGCTTTTGATACATTGCACCAGCTTTTGATACATTGCACCAGCTTTTTTCAGGCCAAACGGCATCATGATATAGCAGTAAATTGCGTCACCAGCGTAAAAAGCTGTTTTCTCCTGGTCGTCCAATAGCAACTAAACCTGATGATAACCCGAGCTGGCATCAAGGAAGCTCATCCATTCATGCCCGACTGCCCGCTCTACTAGCTTCTCAACATTTGGCAAGGGATGAGGTTCTTTTGGACATGCCTCATTTAAGTTGGTGAAATCAATACACATCTTCCACTTGCCGTTTGGTTTTTTGACAAGCACAGGGTTGGATACCCACTCAGAGTATTCCACTCTTCTGATGAAGCCTGCCTGTAGCAGCTTTTGTATCTCTTCATCTATGGCAGCTTGCTTCTGAAGGCCAAAAAGGCGACGCTTCTGAACCACCGGCCTTTTGGTGGGGTCTGTGTTGAGCTTATGGACGGTCAACTCTACTAGGATGCTAGGCATTACATCCATAGTCCACGCAAACACAACTTGATTAACCCTCAAAAACTTTAGAAGCTCTGCTCGTTCTTCTTCTGTGAGCTTGGTGCCGATCTTGATTGTTTTTTCGGCACATCAGGGTTTAAAGGGACTGTTTCTACTGGCTCTATTGGCTCTGCTTTCTACTTGACACCCTCAGGTCGATGCTCAATGTCTGATATACTCATTGTCTGTTGGTCGGGCTGAGTTGACTTGTGATTTTCAGAACCTGCCAGGGCTGCGGCGAGCTCAACCTTCTTGAAAGTGTCTTGGTAGCAGGCTCTGGCCATCTTCTGGTTCCCCTTAAGTACTCCTACCCCTTGAGGAGTTGGGAACTTCATGCAGAGATGAGGTTGGGAGATGATGGCCTTTAGCTCGCAGAGGGTGGCTCTTCCCAATATAGCATTGAAAGCTGATTCCATCTTCATGACCAGAAAGCTAACAGACGCCATCCTGAAGCGTGGTTCGGAACCCACATATATGGGAAGAGTAATAACTCCCTCAACCGGGACGGGCTGGTTATCAAACCCATATATGGGCCCTTCATACTTTTGCAGCGAGCTTGGATTAAGTTGCATTTTTTGAAAACAGCTCCAGTATAAGATATCTGGTGAGCTTCCAATATCAATGAAGACCTTATTGACGTTATGATTGCCTATATGGACTGTTGCCACGAAAGGATCTGCGTGAGGCATCATAACGTCGGGTTCTCCTTCTGCTCGCTTATAGTCTGTCGGGCTAAATGTAATGGGCTAAATGTAATGGGCACATTTTCCCACTCTACTTCTTCAAACGGGCGCTTAAGAGGCCGGTTCTTATTGACAATCATCACCTGGCAAGCATACGTCTTGCGGCCTCGAGCGTTTGGGCCTCCTGCGTGCATACCACCAGAGATCATGTTGATTGTGCCAGATGGCGGGGGTATCCCACTGTATCCAACCCCTCTGTGATCTTTTTGGTTCTGCGTGGATGCTTTCTGTCCTTGCTCGCGCTTATTGAATGGGCGTCCCCTGTATGCTCTGGTCGGCTCAGATGAGTATTGACTCGCCTGATAAGGATTTGGATTGCTACTGAGCTGATGTCCAGGTGCTTGAGATTGGCCATACTCTTGCACAAAATGGGTCTGGGTGGGTTGTCGAACAAAAGGCTTTTGTACATACCCCTCCAACTTTCCATTGCGAGCTAAAAATTCAAGCTCGTCCTTTAGGCTTTGACAATCTTCTGTGTTGTGGCCATATCCACGGTGGTAGTCACAATACTTGCTTCTGTCAGCTCGTGAAGGGTCGTGCGTTTGGGGAGGGTTACTCTTGACCTAGTGTTGTATCTGCGCCAATATCTGGGATCTTGACGAGCTCAGGGGGATGTAGGTGTCATATTTTGGATAGGAAGGTGGTTTTCCTCTCTGCTCGCCAATCTTCTGTTTTTTCTTCTCGTCTCTACCTTCAAGTTGCTTGGGCTCTTTACCCTATCTATCATCAGCTCGTCTTTTGGAAGATTGAAAATCTTCAGACAGTATGAAGTTTGCCGACCTGTCATTTACATCATTCCACGACTTAGGTGGATTCTCCAGCAGGTCGTCTAGAAACTTGCCAGGCTTTAAACCATGCAATAAGGTAGATAAGTAGATGGTATCGGGGACATTATCAATATCCAAAGTAGCTTTGTTGAATCGTTGCATGTAGTCCCTCAAGGATTCTCCCTTTTTCTGATGAACCTGCATCAGTTTGGTCGCAGTACGTTTAATCTCCCTTTGGCTCGCAAATTTGTTGGAGAATAGCTTGGTGAGCTGGGAGTATGAGTCTATAGAGTGTCTGGAGGGTTTATGGTACAATCTCCTGGCCGTTGACTTCAGCGTCGCTGGGAACACTTTGCACATCATGGCATCATTAACATTTTGGATTCTCATGATGGCCTGATAGGTATGTAGGTGCTCGTCTGGGTCACCCGAGCCATCATACGTCTCTAGATGGGGGATTTTGAATTCCTCTTCATACGGTTCCGCTGTGATGGATAGGTTTAGTGGGGCACTATCCAAGTCAAGGGTTTGTTGGTGCGACCTGGGACTTTTCAGCTCGTCAATGGATTTTTGTACGTCCCGTAGATGCCTTTCAAGGTCCACATTCTTCCTCATCAGTTCTTCATTGTGTTTGGACGAGCTAGGCTCATTGTTTAACTTCCCACTTCCCCTTAGTTTGGTCGGTACTACTATGTTACTTAGAGCGGGGGAGTTTCGAGTTGCAACCACAGTAGCTGACTGTGCATCCCTGTTCAGCAAAGGAATCAGGGGATTATCGGGGATCAAGCGAGCAAGGATTTTACCCATTGCCATTTCGAGAACTCTAGTTCTCTCTTCGAGTTGGTTCAATTGACCTTTCAGGTCGTTCATGTTGTGAATTGTATGGTCTGGGATGTCTTTGCCTTGTCTCTATTGGAATTTGGACATGTTCGGGCTGAGTTGCATACCCAGTTGGTGTTCTCTCATCATCATTTGTTTCACTTAGTTGATCCTGTTTTGCTCCCCCTATAAAAAGGTTTCTGGGCATTGGTCTAAAATCATTTAAGCCAGGCTTAGACAATTGTGCGTCCTCCTGTTCGTCTATTTCATTTCTTGGAGGGCGACTTCCTGTAAAAGTACGAGCCATTTTGTCTTTCAACGGGTTAAGCTACGCGACTTCTTGTTCAAGGTTCCCACAGACGACGCCAAATGTTTGGGCAGCTTCGCAATCCAGCGCTGTTGAAGTCCTCGGCTGCTTCTACACCTACAAATCCCGAGGATGTTTTCTTGGGGAAAACACTTCGACGCTCAAGTCAGCAATACTCGATATTCTAGAGAGAGATGCTCTCAAGGAGTAATTGCAGAGAGAGAAGTGTAGAGATTAATTATCTTCTTCTAAAGTAGTTGGGGGATATTTATAGCCCCCAATGCTAACATGCATCTGCACATGTAAGCCTCTCATTGGTCCACGTTTTACTGTCCACGTGGGCATGTCTCATCACCTTGGGCCAGTGGATGTGTGATTGGGCCTACAGCATGTGGCCCGAAGTGGGTATTGGGCCTAATCCCAATAGAAATCATAACGAAGGAGAAATTCTTACTCGTAGATCTGCGAAATTGTGCTATCAGAACACTGTGCGATGATCGAAGCGACAGTAAACAAGCAACCGGTCGCCGGAATCATTGCACTTCGTTCCGACGACAAGAGTAACAACTAACAAGACTGTTTAACTCTTGAAGAGAGACGATGCGTCTGGAATTATAAGCATCGTCTTTTCTCCGATCAAGCAAACGTGGACGGGGACTGAGCTAGAAATTTTTAAGGTGGACGGTGGGGGAGGGAATTCTAAAATTTTTTGTGCGTCATTTAAGGTTTATTTAATCATGTTTTATATGAATTTTTTTCACAATAACTTTTATAAAAATGTAAATTTATTATAAGTAATTAATATTTTATATTTGGTAAAAAGATTAATATTTAATATATTTTTAAAATATTAAAAAATAAAAAAACTCATACATAAGTACAATACTGATAAATAAAATCTTAATAATTTATATTATTATAGTTTATATTAATTTTTAAAATAATTATTATTTTTATACATATACTACTTATATCATTCATAACAAAATTTATATTAACTAAATATATTTAATTATTTTTTAATAACATATTTAAATTCATTAAATAAATAGTATAAAAATATAATTTATTTGAGTAAAGTTATATATATCAAATCAACTTTGAATTAATAGAATATAAATGTACAAAAAATATATAACTAACATAAAAAATTATATAATTTTATTTTAATATAACTAAAATTTAACTATTTTTTATATTTATTTTTACCTAAATAAAATTATTATATCTTTAAAAAAATTAAT